GTGGGACTTTGATGAATGTTCTTCTGGCTGATAGCCTTGACCATATTATTATTTCTTCATTTTCTTCAATTTTGCTTCTAACACTATATTATTATCTGCAACTTTTGGTTTCATCCTGGTTTAGGCTTAGTATGTATGTTAATAGCTTCAATGATAACTGAAGTAGAAGTATTGGAGATTCAGTTAAACACCTGAGATGTGTGTCAGAAACAGCTGTCTCTGATAGGAAGCAAAGCACTATGGGACATACTTTCTTAGAACAAATTGATATCAGAAATGTTGAATTTGCCAGATAATAGATTCACTCAACACTTTGTTTGTTCCTGATGTTAGGATGCATCACTGCTTGAACCCAGTTGCATCATTTGCTAAGTTGCACGGCTTTTTCTGTCTGACCTGAAATTTAATTTTGATTTCAGTGATCAAAATGGTCTTCATGTTGATCTCTTTTTTTTTTTTTTTCTTTTTCTTTGATGGTGTGACTTGTTTTGGGTTGTTTTTTTGTTTTTGTTTTTTTTACATGTGATGATGATGGTGGTTTTTGTTTTTGCTCTGGTGGGTCTCTTTGGCTGGTGACAAAATGATGAAGCTTCATTCTCAGAATGATGTCAGGGCAGGTGTAGTGGGGGAAGTGAAAGTTGACGATGAAGGTAGCGCAGTGTAAGTGCGACCAGAATGATTCTTAGATCTAGATGGAGTCAGTAAAGTAAGTTGTGAGTATTTTTCCGATTGTTTTGAGAATGAAGCAAACATCATTTTCTCTGAAAACTGTATGAACTCATCCTGATCTGCCACAATGGATATGAAAATGAAAATGGGAAATATGTAAGAATGGAGATAATATTTGATCATGTTGTTTAGACTGACAAGATCTTGTACAGATTGTAGTAATCGTTAAGTTAATATCAATGACAAGCACTGCTATATGTGCCAACACTAGAAGTACTTTCTGCCTAAAGATCTTTACTTCTTTATTTATTTCTGTTTTTTTAACTCTGTGCTGGCTGTTTTAATGTTGCTTTACTATATTTATCATAATCTTCAGTTTATGCAGGTTTAAAGTACATGAAAATGTTCTTGTCACTGTCTACAGATGTAACATAAACATTGCCTTTATCCAACAGATGTGGAGGGCAGAAAGTCTAAAAGCAGGAGTGGGGAGCCGCAGCAAAGCTGCTAACCCCGCCCCCCCCCCACCCTCGTCTGTCTGCTACCATGCAGTGAGCGCATGGTGAGTGAGCGCTGCTCGAGGAAGGGATATGGACTGGGGAGGAGGGTGGGGGTTCGGTCTTGTCTCCATGGGAACCTAAAACATGGTGTAACAGATGTCATCCAGCCTGCCGTGCACTTGCCTCCCGTGCTTGTCTAAGCCCACACTACTACTCCCCCTACTCGCTGTTCTGTTTGTAGTCCCACCGTCCCTGTGGTGCCAAACGTCTATTCAGAGTCTGATGGGACCCTGATCCGTTTGGTGTATGGGCTGTTTCACCATCTCAGTGAATAAACGCTTTGCCTGTTTGTTTTGCTATATCCCCCACAAGAGGAGTTCTCAGCAGCTCACCGTATCCCTCCTCTGTGGTGCTTCTTGTGTTGTCGGTTACATCGACTGCTAAGTGTTTCCTACTGGCGGAAAAAATCTACCATTTGCTGTGTTCAGGCCCGCTTGCTGTTGCTGCATGGCTTTGGTGTAGCGCTGAAATCCTTCCCCCTTCTTGTTTCCTTGACAATGCATGTAGAGCCAGGCTGCTTCCCTCCGTCTCCTCCTGTATATCACTGTCTACTGCTACTGTTTCCGACTTTTAACTTTGTTTCTCTTTTCTCTCTTGTTTTTCTCTCCTGTCTCTTTCAACTTTGCCTCTTTACTTTGTAATCTTCTTCTTTTTTTTTTCCCCCTATCTCTCTTCTTTTCACTCCTCTTTGCTCGCCTGGGACTCAGAGAGAAAGGTGGCCTTGGAGCTGTGTGTCTGAAGCCTAGTAGAGTAAATCTGATGAGACTTTCTACAGTGAGAAAAGATTGTACATCCCAGTTTTCCCTTTTTCTTTTTGAACACAAGGACACTTGAGTAGAGAAAAGTGGCTTCCTTCTCTGTTTTGTTTTTCTTCCTTGAATCAAGGAAACAACAGAAAAGAACTCGACAATGTTGCAGTGACCTCTTTGTTTTTCTATAAAGAGTCAAATGTGGAAGATTGCACTGCCATGTGTCCTTCAGTGTGACGGACTGCTACATGTGCACTAGTCTCTGCAGACTAATGATTAAAGTGCCAACGCTCACACAACCGCCTAAAGGGCAATCTTAAACCAGATTGATGAATTCATTTTGGATCTTGACTGCAGCCGGACCTTCTCTTGCTTTACCTGATCATCAGATCGAGTGTTTTTGTAAATGGGCAGCATGAACTAGAAACAGCTTTCATTCAGGCTCATACAAAACATTCTCAAAGCATGTCAACACCAAACATTTCAACCTGCTATCAGACTCAACAATCACAATGTGCATGGAGCAATCAATCAGCCAATCACCCCAGTTCCTTTATCCAATCAGAAAGCGGGACAGTGTTCTGTGGGCATTTTATCTGCCAGGATGCCAACTGGACTTGGACAGGAAGCAGATGACATGCTGTGTGATATAGGCATCCGTTGCCTGCCAATCATGAGTGGAGGTTGTGTGATCTGAGAGCGAGAGAGGGGAATCATGGGAGTGTTCCAGGTCACCTATATGAAAGTTGGCCTCCACAGACTGACACCCTAAAATAGACCCATTCTGTTCACCATAGCTTGAATCATTTGTCGTAGTTTACTGAAAGTACACCTTCACGCATCGCTACCCATCCTGCTCTGAAACAAAACAAAAGGAAAAACACGCTCACTTCACAGCTCATTATCAATCTATAACAGTGTTGTGTATCTGCTTTTTGAGGATGTGTTGTTTATAAATCTGACTCGACTATAGGTGACCTGTGACCTGTCCAGCGCATACAGAAGGTGTGCAGATTTCTGTGTTGAACATGATGCTAAAGATGAGACCCAATGTTTTCCTCCTTTTTCACTTTTTACATAAACCCATTTGATGTAATTAAATTCATCAAGACTAATGTGTGCTCTTCTTTGTTATTTTTATTGTCGTTGTCTATTTAAAAAAAACTACAGACCCAAATGTTCATGTTATAAGAAGAAACACAGGGAGGCCTTTCTTGTCTTAAAACCGGCTTTAGGCGAGACATGCACACCCTCACAAGACAGAAAACAGTGGGAGACATTTCAATGAATTCCTTTCAGTTTTGCACTAAACTGAGCAGCTGTTGTTATGGAAGAACCCGAGACTGCAGTGTATCAAACATTTTAGCTTCTCAACTGAACTGAATCAATCATTGCAGTCAGTTTTAAGTACATTGACCCGCATGACCCACTATGCAACTTGGATGCAGAGTGGCTGACAGCTTTAAGTGGAGCAGCTACAGCAGGGGCCAACGTTATTTGGAAATTCTAATGTAAACCACCACCAAAAGCGGAACCTCTTTTGGATAACGGACCTACATCAAAGAGAAGCTGCTTACTTGAAAAAGGCTGTGGATATTGACCTTTCACTGCGCAGTTTTCATATATCCACTCTGGTGTTTTTTTTCTTACGATTTTGTGCTCATAGACTTCTTGAGAATCAGCAACAGTCAGATAAATCTCTCTGGTGTTATGAAAACACCTGTTAGGGTTGGGCAGTTCTTTTACGTACAAGGTTCTTGATGATAGTACGATTCCCGGTACAGCTGTTGATAACTTTAAACTCAGTACCTGGGTGTGTGGGGCTTGTAAAAACAAATGAACAAACCGAGGGTCATAAGATGTAAAACATGAAGGTGAACCTTCCAACTGCTGCGGTTCTCCCTTCAGTCCGTACAGAACAAGTTTCTCTCCTCCACACAGCTCAGCCTGTGAGCTACTGAAGAGACGCACATCCTAGCCTCGCTGAATGACGGAGGAAGAACATCTCCATGAACAAGAGGTATGAAAACATGGCTGACATCCTCAACACAGCTGAAACTTGAAGGATAAGTCTGAAACAACTCTATGCTTGCGCCTGTGGTTAATTGTCATTACCAGCCCCTCTAAGGCTTTATGTATAGGTCTTGTATGCTTAAGTTTATAGGTATGAAGGTTCCTTTATAGTCCACACATTTGTTAATAAGAATATTTGAGATTTGATAATAGGTAAAAGGTAACAAATGTATAAGTGCATAAAAAAACAATTGTGTGAGAAGCTGCTGCTATAATAGCATAATTTACTGCTATTAAAGTATGAATGAATCTTAAAAATTAAGTTTGCAAAGGTAAGATATCTTTTAATAAAGCAAGTTTGACAATTATAACTATTATAAGCATTCTTTGACATAATCTATAAACTGAACAGGTTTCCTTTAAGTGCTTCTATACATCTTATCTGACATTAAAATGAAATAAAACTTAGTTTTAACTCTAACAAAGTATAATTATACCAATAAGGACCTTAATTTATTATTCAAGGAACTATTTAAGGCGATGTCCTTAAAACAAGAAACGTAATAAGTAACTCCAGGGCTCTGCTGTAGGTTGATTTGTTTGGTCTTTAAGGCCTCCTAGAGGTGACTGTCAGTACAACACAAATATGTACAGCATGCATTTTGATTTGCTTACATATACATTTGAAATACGTCATTTTCCCATCACTGATATCTTGAGTCCAGGCTATGCGGTTGAAATTCATGTCTTTAAGAATATTTTGCAGATACTAATAAACAGGACATGAAGCATTTCATCAGTGTTGCACATGCCCTGAATGAAAGTTAATGGGGAGAAGATTAGTAAACTTGTTTTTCTGTCTTCTAAACTGTATACACCACATCGTGTTGAGCTGGGGTTTTTTTAGCTGCAACATGAGAAACAAATGATGAAAAGTAATTCACGGTATATAAAATACTTTCCTGAATAATAAAACTAAGAGTAACAATGATTAAAGGAAACAAGAGACTTGTTTTAAATGTATGATGTTTATTAACTGTATGGTCATGCAAAAAGTCCAGCATCCAAGTGAAACTCAAAGAGTATAGACATGTAGCCCCTTTGTAGTATAAGGTTAAAATGCAATAACTTTACTTACATACAAGCTCGGCTTCTGTGAATCTTTTATGCTCTTTAATGTGAGATAACATTGGCTGATTTTGTCATCTCGGACAAAGCCATTTCATAACCTGGAGGATGCAAATAACACAGATTTCCATTTCTTTATTAAGTAACAGTGAAAAATTACCAGAACATAGACATGCATATTTCTTCCATTTGTAAAACTGCATATAGTGTTGCCGTTTCAGATCGTGAATGTTAAGTTTCCCTTTTACTATGAAGCACTTCAAGGATCTTTTCCTACCCTCAGTTCACTCTGGTGCTTTTGTCTCATCAAATATTTCTGAGACATTTGAAGTGTTTTGTAAAGTGTCTATTCAGTTTTTGTTTTGCACGTTTGCATTTTTGGAACGAAAGTTTGATATGAAGCAAAACAACAACAGACAGCAACCTGCTCTACCTACTGTGAAATAAAACCTCTTTGTAGGTAGTTGGTGCGTTTAGCCCAAGGTTAACCTGCTTAAAGTTTACATTTGGTCACGTTTCCTATATACAGTTTTAGACTCAAAAGTCCATACCCTGTCTTATTACAATGCAATTAATGACATTAAATCTTAACGATCTTCAGCTGAAGCAGGGAGGTCACTCTGTAGTAATACTACGGCAGCAAAGAAAGCTCATCTACGTGAAATACTTATGAGATCATCATTACGGTTTAATGTTCATTTTTAAATGAAAACATCACTTCATTCATTGCATTAAAATATTCCTCGTCTACTATAAGCCTCAACTGGAATCTTTTTCTCAATGATATTAAGAAGCAAATGACAAATCAAAAACCCAGTTGAATATTTCAATGCATGAATTTAGTGATATTAAAGAAGTATTGAGAATTCCGTATTAATGAAATTATAATGGGATCAAAGTTTTCTTTGCCTCCATACGCTTCACTTTAGATGATGGACTTAACAGGCTTTCAGCATCCAGATGCAGAGCCAGATTGAAGATATTAAGTAATACGTGCCTGTTAACACCATGTCTGATGTTCCACAGGTTCAAACCAGGAAGTGAGCTTTTTAAAGAGTCAGTTCATCCAACATGTGCTCACTCACCTCCAGCTAAGCCAGCTATGCAGATAGTTTTGATTCAATGCCCAAACTGTACTTCTTCATCATCAGCGTTAATGTATTATCAGTTACATTTACACCACATGTCGCCCGTCTATTCTGCCTTCATTTTAATCAATTAGAAATGTCATGTTCATAGAACTTTTAATTGTTCCCTCCTTTCAGGGCAGCCTGTAAGGTTTAGTTGCATCTTCTTCAAACACCCCCCATGACTGTGTGGCACGCATAATGAAAGAAACACACGTCATCAAATCACACAAACAACCATTAAGTCATCAAAAAAAACATCACATAGTTTCAGTTCTGGTTTTCATCATGGGGTGGGGGGTGGGTGTGGGGGGTGAGTTTGGAGGCATATCAGATATTTCACAGAAGTACAGGTGGCTGATACAGGAGGGCGGGTCTCACGTGAATCACAACGATTTCTAAAAATTTGCATCAACTGCACCAGGGCACGTACAAACATAGATGATGGTATCTGATGATCTGAGATACTATGGAGCAGCGCAGCACACAGGACAAGACAGCAAGCCCCCCCCTCCCCGGTACAAAGTCACATACTCACAAAGTTTATACGACAGTGACACACAGATATGTTTGTCCTCTTTAAAGGGAGAATCTTCAAACTAGTGTGCTTTTACAGTGTTGTGAATCCAATCAGATCAGCCATAGGAGTGTTAGATTTTTTTTTGCTCCTATATTTTGCATACAGTGTGTGTGGGGACAAAGGGGGCAGTATAAAAGTGTTGTTGCAGTCTCCACCTACTTTCATTTCAACCACTCGTTTTTTTTTTACAGTTCTGGAAAAAACAACTGATAAAAATATTAACATCAAAACACTCACAGCTACGCCATTTACAACAGAAACTCTGACAAAATTGGACAAAATCCTTTGATTGCCATCAGCTATGGTCCCACAGCCCTTTATCAGGCCAAGCCCTCTACCCATCATGCCTTGTTTTAGTCTAATCCTTCAGCTGCATTCCCTTTGTAACATGCTTTTTTTTTTTTTTTTTATAGTGCAACAACGTCACACGGCAAGCCAAGACGGACCACATAAAAACACGACCAGAACAAGAGACAGGCATAAGGGTGACATCATCACACGACTGCTACGAAGAGTAAGAAGGAGGCAGGAATGATGGAAGTAAAGGGACAGAGGTAGGGAGAAAGGGAAGGATTCAGGCAAGCGTAACCTGAAGTTGCAGAAAGGTTTACTCCGTCAGAAGAGTGAACACAACAGCAGTGAGTCTTAAGTGTCTGTGCAGAAACAGTACAGGCCATGAGAAGATCAGATAATCCATGCTTCACCTCAAAAACACAAAACAGATCAAAGAAATCTTAAAATGTTGGCATGGGAGTGGGTCTGAGCTTTCAGATTAGGAAGTAAAAGATGAGTAGCTTTTGACTGATGGCGCCCCCTGGTGTCTGATTTTAAACACGACAGGAGAGACAGAGGGAGGCCTTCTGCAACTTCAAGATGAGCAGGCCTCATGTTGTGTCTAAAGCTCAGAGGTGGCTCATCCCTAGAGAGAGGCTGGAGCACATGTGTGTGTGTGCGTGTGCGTGTGCGTGTGTGTGTGTGTGTGTGTTTACACCTCGGGACAACAAAGCAGAACAAAAACACCAACTTTCATGCTGAACTCCCCACACCCTCAAAGTAACACATTTCCCCCTTTTTACTTCTATAAATATTTATGTATACATGATTGTATTAAATAAAGTCCCCCATAGATTAAAAATGATCAACACAGTTATTCAAAATACATAATGCAAGAGATAAAAACAAACAGCTTTATAACATGTCATACAAAAAGACAAAATCCAAATAAAGGTCCCTTCAGTAACGTTGAACAGCGTCTAAACCATTTTCACACCTTGTGTGCGTATGCTCAAAGCAGACACAAAGATGGCTGTTAAATAATGATATTTAGTAGATACAAGTTGTGCTGATCCTTCCCACACACATACACCTGTTAACTGTAGAACAAACAATATCTCTAAAGAAGTAGGCCTTCTGCTGTTTTCTGAAAAAACTGAACAAAACCACCACATACTTATTTAACTTGCCGCTCCATTCTCATTCACTATGTGTGTTAAAGTGTTTTCTGTTATAGATATATATATATATATATTTTAACATGTTAATACTTTTCCAGACAGCAGACAAAAACTGACAAAGGGAAGTAAAGGCCATGGGAGACAAGGACCAGGACAGCATCAACCCATGTTGCCCCGGAAACATGCACCATCTGCAAGAAAGTGGCTGACATCAGCCAGGCCTCGCCCTCATATGCCAGCGTTTGGACTGGATTGGTGTCGCTCGGTGTGGTCTGTCACTCACTCAAGCCTTGAAATATGCTGTTTTTTTTAAAGTCTGTTTTTCTTTCTCTGTTAATTTTTTAGATATTTTCCCCACTTTTGTGTTTTTAGAAGGTTCCAAGGAGCCTCTTCCTGGCCAGGATCCAGACACCAATCCGACCCAGAGGATAAATGCTCCAAACAGCTTTAGGGTTCAGGCAAAGCTGGAAGGGGAGAGCAGACACTAGTTAGTGTGCAATCTGTAAACCTACATTACAAGAAACATTTAAAAATAAAATATCATCATTTATCCTTCCTGGGGTCAAGACACGGGAGAATGCTCCTGTACAGATAGCTCAAAACTTCACATAAACCAAAAGTACGCAGCATCAGCACGCGTTTGTCTCAATCGTTAAATATGTCTTTCATGTATTTGGGAAATCGTGTCTATCTATTACACGTCTAGTATTTATTGCTGTTAAATTTGTCCGTAAACTTTCAAGGTTCTCGTCCTAAAGAAAGACTCTAGGATCGTCCAACATATGAGGGAGGAGGATTAAATAATAAATCTTTTTGTGTCACAGCTTTACAGTACTCTTCACTTTGTAGCTTTAGAAGAAAATGTTGCACAGTAAAGAGGTTCAGATGATGTGAAAAAGCATTTACACACGACCATTATACTTAAAGTTACCATTAAACTGTGATTGCAGCCATCAGACTGTAATAATAGTGACGTGTTATCATCTTACCTGGGCCTGGTCTTCAGTTCAGGGGTGCAGCCGGCGCTCCAGAGCAGTGGAAGTGCACATTGAGCCATTTGGCATCCCGGCGGTGCCACACACGTGTCTCCTCCGACTGGCAGGAGCGCGGCCGGCCCTGGCTGTCGATGTACTGTGTCAGGCGGATGTAAGCGATGCAGGCGGCCTCCTCGCCGATCAGATGGACGTGGGGGTTGAGGATGGTGGTGTGCACCGGCTTACTGTTTTTACTCAGTACTGTGGGGATGAAAATGTGCACGGCCACTGTTTGTTAACAGACATGTTAGGAGTCAGCGGGGCTAAGTAAAAAATTAAGATGGATTTTTCCCATTTTTGTAGCTTTTCAAGATTTACTGTCAGACATCTGTAAGTAGAATCCCTTCACTTCATCCATAGATGTCTGTATGTAACCTCTCTGGCTGTTTTAAGCTAATTCTAAAGGGATTTGAAGACAGCTGAAGTAATCAGTACATTTAAATATGAAATAGTTTTCATGTCTGTTTTCTGTTTACACAAATGTCTCATTCACAGGGTTTCTGAAAAAAGGGGTTTTGCTCACTGTGTTTCTCTAAGAGATCCTATAAGATAAATATTTCTGTAATCATGATAAAACAAATGACACAACACTCATTTTAAACTGAACTTGTAGAAATAAAGGGCTCTATTCTACAGTTGAGTGTCCTTGGTTTCAAAGAGGTCAATAAAGCAGTACGATAAAACAATGAACACTGATGTTTATTAAATACTAAACTGAGCTACTCACAGTTCTCAAAGTAGAACTTGTGGAAGTCCATGCCCTCCACCAGGTTTCCGAGAGCTTCTGGCTCAAAAGAAGTCAGTCCAGGGTCACAGATTCTCCTGTCAGAGGAAAACATGAACATGTCAAATCTTCAGCTCCAGATGATTTATGATAGAGGTCAAAATGAGGAGGACAAAGATCAGTGTGTGTGTGTAAATCTCACAAAACATGTTTTAAAAGAAAAAGACTTTTACACAAGGCTTCTAATTGTTTAAGCAGCATATTTAAACGTACGTGTAAGCTTCGAAATCCCCATTGTTAATAGCTTCAATCAGCTGCTCCGTCATCTTTATGATCTCCTGTTTACGAGCTGAAAATAGAAAAGACGAGGAGGTGCAGAGGGTTGGGGAAATCAAGAGAGGTTAAAGACTGTATGAAAAGGGTTGGAGCTAGAAGTACTTCACTTCATGCTTTCCCTGAACTTTCTTTAACTCTGACATTTGACAGAATGTGAACACAGCCTCTGGTAATACACACATTTGACATTTGAGGTCATCCTGTACAAAACACACCAAACACACTGTGTACACTCTCCATGTTCAACACAGAAAGAGCATGTGAAGCTGTGTTAAACATGCTAGACACTGAAAGCAAAAAGCATCTCCTTTTTTTTTTTCCATGTAGTGTCTTTGGACATAGCCATTTTTATTCATTTAAATCACAACCAATCTCCAAAACAAACTTATCTTCCACACACTTCACCACAAACAGGTCACATGCTGAAAGTCAATTTTCTGAAACCAAAGACAACATCTGGAGAGGGAGAATCAACCAGGTAAACTAAAGAGCATTAAAATGTCCAACATGTCACAGCTCAAAATAGATGCTTTGACCAACAGATGAGCTAAACTTTAAAACACAAATAAAGACAAACTTACTCATCCGACTCCAAAAGTCTTTCCCATTACACACAAACCGAGTCTAATAAGATTCCCTGCAGCATGTTAATCTCAAAATGCTCAACTCTCTTACAAATCTTTTTTTTTTTTCACAAATTCAGAAAATGAACCATGAAAGAAGAAGACAATTCATTAGAAAGACATCACTCCAGAGAAGGACAAACTGCATGCAACAAACTCCACATCTGTGCAACTGTGAAGATAATAAAACATCAAGGATCATACACTTTAGATATGTTAAAAAAACTTTTTCTCAAACATGCTGCTGCTGAGCCAGAAAAGTCAGCATTACAACGTCCACACCTGAATGTAACTCTGTGTTGCTAGAATCTGTTCATTCTCTCAAGTCTTCAGAGTTAGGAGAGTGGGAGCACACTGCTCAACCTGCCTCCAACTTACTCTTCTGTCCTTTGCTGCTGCTGCTGCTGCTGCTGCTGCTGCCTGCCTGCAGGTGGTGACAGAGTAGACTCTGGTTCCGGACAGGAGCTCTGAGCTGGACGAGTCTGAGGGACAGTGGGGCTGATAGCAGCCTCCTGAAGGGGACGAGCTGCAGGCACTCATCCCAATAAAATAAAGTTATTTTTAGCAAACTGAGAAGGTAAGTATGCAGCTATTGACACTGCATTAAATGTTGCTTATTCTGCACAAAGTAAATCAAGCAGTCATTAAAGGAAATTAGACTCCACACTCCAGACTCAGATATAAAATGGGAACAGCAACTTGTAGTTAGACTTTGGTGCCAGTAGATGGCAGCACAGGAGGGCAGAGGAAACTAGTGCAGTAAATGGTGAAAAGTGGAAGAGAAGAGGTCAGATTATTTTTTCTTTGTTATAAATGGGGAGTTTTTTTTTAACATCAAAATGTCCTGTTCAGCTTGTAGGGGTGATTTGTTGCTAAACACTGTAGCTGGGTGTAAAGAGGAGAGAGCAGCACACTACAGTCAGAGCAGAGAGGTGAGTCAGGTAAACTGCTGCTGACTTACAGGTGAGTGGTGAGCAGCTCGGAGACAGGGTGCGGGTCTGCTCCTCAGCTGTGCTGCACAGGCTTAACACCGCACTGTCTGTGCTTGTAGACTCACAGGCAGCCACGGCAGCTATCATAACACAAACACACAAACACAGGCTGACAGAGAGCCTGAGAGGATGTTTTCCAACATCTAGATGGATCTCATTATGATAGCAAAAAAATGTTTGATGTTATCAACGTATTACTATTCATTTTAAATAATTATGTTTTTCTTTAATATTTATGTTTAAAGAATGTCTTTCAACTTAAATATCTTTAAACATTTTGTAGGACCAAATCCAAAAGTATTCAAACTGTATTTCATATAATAAAAACAGCAAATCCTATCTGTTTTTTTTTTTTTTTTTTTTCAAATCATGAAAATGTTCAATCCATGCACAGCTCATTTAATCGGCTTCCTATTTCCGTCTAGTATTGTGAAAACCACACCTAGATAAACAACACACTTCAGAAGGTAGGTTAGTACATAGAGCATCTTGGTGGAAACGTACTGAGTACTCACAAAGACAAACAGAAACAAGTAACGTCACCTTATTCAGACACCAGAGAGTAAGAAACTGATTATTGAAACAAGCCACACATGTAGCCAAACCTCAGGTCACTTGTCCTCCAAAGTGAATAAGAGAAGAAGCTTTGTGTATGAGCAAGAAGGAACGGAGAATCAGCAGCCTGCTGCAAACAGCTACCACTCAACGCACAGTTATCTAAGCTAGAGAGCAGAGTGGAAAACAACCTTCATCACACAAGTTAGTTTGAAATTAGAGATCGTGTACGGCTTTAAATGTTGCTACACGTCCATGAGCAGTTTTAAGTTGTTTCTTTTCTAACTTGCCATGGCCTTGGGGTAAAGGATGTTTTCTCAGTCACATGACCATTACAGACTAACTGTAATGACTTAAACTCTCTGCGAAAATTATTCTGAAGATAACAGAGGAGCAGCTTTAACAGATATTATTAATATGATTTAGCCTCTGAGGGTGATTCTGGCTTAATTTGTAGACAGTGGATATCCACATTATGGACCCTCACTGCTGCATACAGTTTGTAGTCCAACTAGCAACTAGAGACACATTCATAGAGTTTGAGTTGATAAAGTTCCATCAACAGATTTCTCCCCAAATCGTCCTCAGAGTTCAAAGCTGAAGGATACGTAACCATAAGATGACTTTTTGTGATAATTCAAACTTAACTTGATATTAAACATAAAGTTCAGGTAGGTGATCAAACTAACAAGTTTCAATATAGCAGTTTGTCATATGACTCTAAATGATGGACCAAACTGTTTGTGTTTCTGTTTCAGAACGAGGGACATTCACGTCACTTTTTACTGTAACTTCACATGAGCTGTTGAATTAGTATAAGGTGCGGACTTCAGCTAAAACAATCTGATGTCAAAATGTACAAAATCACATTGATTTAGCAGATTCTTTCATCTGAGGGATCTTAAAGCACTGAACCTGAAAGAAACAGAAGAAAAGAAAAGAGGAACAATAGCCTCTCTGACCCATGTCAGTGATGATCTGCTATAAGATCAAGTGCTGGTAAGAAAGCTGCCCTGAGTAAGTGGATTAAGTACATGCTGGAGAGCTGCAGGTAGGCTCTGTCCTACTTCACTCAACTGAAGACACTGTGGGTCATCTCTGACCTGAAGACGACTAATTAAAGGCTTAAGTGGCGTGTGATGCCAGCATGCTCACACCAACATATAGCAACAGCAGAAATAAGGCACGAGCACACAACATGTACTGCAGGACGTGTAGATTTAAAAGGATACTGTGTTGAAGCCTTTGCAGGTCTTCAGGAAGATAATGGGAAATACCTTTTTGATAAAACTCTGACTAAAGCGTCAACACACACTGCTGTGGGCTTCGTTATTAATTATATTGATCTTTGTTTGTCTCTTACTGTTTGGGCCACTTGGGGGCGGATAACGTCTGCGGCCGAGAAACACATACCTCTAATATATTTTTACTTAGTCTGGCAATCAATACATTTTAATAACTTCATACAGGAACTTCATACTAAATACTTTACTCATGTAAAATGACATTAAAACTAAGACCGATGACTTGTGTCACTAGGGTAGGGGTTTATCCAAATAATACTTAATGCTCTACTTTTAAACTATTTGAATAACAAAGACTATTTTTTCTTACTTAAACTTAATCATCATCATCATAATGAAATGCATAACTGTGATGAAGACACTCACAGATTAAGTTATTTTAAAGGTTTATGTTTGGGTTTTTCATGTCTGTATTTAAGAGATAGAGATGTCTTGGGAAAGACAGAGTGGGGAATGACATGAGGGAAAGGAGCCACAGGTTGGATTCAAACCAGGGCCGTCCGCTCGAGGACTTAAGCCTCTGAGGCATGCGCACTAACCGCTTGCCTATTGGCGCCACTATGCACAGCTTAAATTATTATGAAATGTAGTAGCTGGGAGAACTGATTTAGAGCCGGGTTTCAATTTCTCTGAAAAAGCTTAGCTCAGCTCTACCAAACAGAACCATATATATATATTAACGTATTTAAAGTTAAAGACTCTGAGGAAGAAAAAGCAGCTGTGACCGGCTGTTTGGTAACAAGCGTCCTCTTCTTATAGCTTTCAATAGCATGTGGTCACTTTGTACAGGAGATGAAAATCGAAAACAAAAACAGCCACATTAAAAAAGAACAGTTTGTTGAGATGCATGCACAGTGTTGACATCCACCTGCTAACAATGTATTCTCTTTTTTGTGGTGCTTCAGGGCATCTGTATCTTTCAGCTGCCAAACTTGCTATACCCTAGCTCTCATTACAAAGAACAGACTCTCTTTATGAGATAACAGTAGATATGATTCACCTTTAATATACAGTGAATCGATACAGTGCAGGATTGATTCTTATTTTAATCTAGAGTTGAACAAAATAAGTGAATGTAAACCCATGCAGAGTAGGTGAAAGTTTGACAGGTACCTTTCCTACCTTTCATCTCCTCCTCTTCTGTGTTATTGCAGCTCTCCGTGGAGCCCTGTCACACGGGAAAGACAGATGGAAAGAGAGAAAAGAGGTTTTGGAGAAAAAAAGAGAAAGCAGAAATAACACAATAAATCATTTGTTAATGTTTAAGTGAGACATGGTTGGGAAGTTTTAGACACTTTGCTCATACAAACACACAGACAACTTGACAGACAAATGGATGGGTGGACGACTCCCTCCCAGGAGCACAAACCAGCCAGGACAGCAGCACAGAGAGCCACATATATCAGAGTGTGTGAGAATTTACATGTCCTTTGACTTATTTTAACACAAAGGAGCGTTTGAGTGCGTGTTACAGTAGTGTGAATATCTAATGACTAGTATTAAGCAAACTACTACACTAGAATAACAGGCACATGGCAGTTAGTTCCTGTTTTAGTAAGATATAGTTGTTAGTGTTAAAAACGGTATGTGCAGATGCTTTAGAAAAATGGAGAGTTTAGAAAGCAGAAAGGTTTTTAATACTGATGCAGAGCTGGCTAAACACTGAAGCTTCAGTGTCCGCTACATGGCAACTCAGATGTGTATATGACTTCAGGGAGGAGGGTGCAGTGGCAGACAGCTCCCTCCAATGTTTTGAAATTGGACTGCAGCACCAATTTTAACAGAATGTGTCGGAGTTACATAATGCTACTTTAATATGTCTATGAATTATAAAATTCTCTATATGAAAACAAATCTGAAAATTTCATGTTGGATTATTTTAAAGGTATAACAAGCTATCATTCATTTGATATCTGGATAAGTAGTATAAATGTTGCACAGAGCAGTAACAAGAGCTCTGATTGGTCAGTTCTTTTGTGTTGACAGGAGACGGGGTCAGGCTAAGTCCAGTTTCTTTTCAAGATTGAAGCATGGATTTATCATTTAAAGACTAAAAAGGAAATTAATTGTAAAATCTAATAAACTTTGTAATAAACTTTGTCTTACATTTATGCAAGAACTATTTTTGAAGCTTAACCTATATTTAATGTATTAATTGATTATAACAAAACATGGATATTCAACAATTATTCCAGGTGACCTTCACCACAAGCAGAAGCTGTGTTGATCCTGTTTTAGGAGAACAGGATTTAACTCTCCACTGAAATCCCTTCTGGTAATCACGAAGAGAAATAATGAAAGTCGCCGACAGAAGCCAGCTCACATTAGGTGCACAATGAGGCGTAAAGAGTTGTTACAATCCTTTTCGACAGAGATTCATGGAGTTCATTTCGAGAAAATCATCCACGAGTTCCCTGAGAGTGTTAGTAGTGGCTGGTGGCTTGTGGTGGGAGAAGGAGGGGCTTACCTTGGTGCCGCCAGCTGGGTTGTGTACAACAGTTGTCTGGGCTTCCTGGGGGAAGGCAGGAAACACTTTACCATGCAGGGAGGGAATGAGTAGATGGGGTGGGGGCACCAGGGAAGATGCCAGGGAATACCAACATATTCCACGACAACAAATACACAAAACAGACACAGGTGTGCACACCAAAACAAACCAGCAGCACAGAGAGTGCGGAGCATTTATAGTGATTATGTAGATGAATGTACTTAGTGTCAGTTTGTTCAACCATCCACCAACATGTGGCCTTAAAATTTGTCTCCAAATGAATGAAAACAGCAGTGAACACTAAAAGCTGCTAGTATACACATCCAACAACCAGGGCCAAGACTAAGGAGGAGGTTCTTTAAGGGATTGTTTGCAGGGCTTCAGTTTGGCCTTTAAATTGCATGAACAAATTAGGCTTAATGCAGATGTTACGCAACCTTTATATCACTTTGAAGTTGCATTTACTCACTCCCAATGGCTGCGAGATGACGTTGTAGATACTCTTAGCATGATGTTTTAATGTGCTGTTAAAGTTGCTGTCCAGTGATAATAATATCAAATGTTCCACACTGGTAGGGCTCCTGTCTGGATGGATCAAACACGATTTCACCCCAGGATACTGGGGTTAAACTCCTGTTTTTAACCAATACTGAAATTATTTATTTTAGAATTGTACTTGTTGTGGGTGTATGTTAGATACATAAAATAACAAAGTCAATTTGTAAGAATTATACCCCAACAGTGATTTCTTCCTGGAGCCAAAAAGAGGTTATGTTGAGAGTTTCAAACTCATAGAATGTGAAATGCTCCTCTGCAAACTCTGGTTTTCATTAGAAAGCTTTTCCATTTTATAATGGTGCAGCAGGAATCTACAAGTACAAAACAGATGCTAAAGGGTATCTACAGAGTCATACTTTGAGAGTAGGGCCAATGACAAGTGATTGTGTTTTATATGTAAAGGGTGAAAGTGTCACATATTTAACCATTTCAACATATGAATGTGTATCGCTTTTGTTACTCAGGTAGAAGTTGGAGGTCTTGATATATTCAATTTAATCACAAAAGGATCTGAAACAAGACCCAGCTTGAAAGTTTTCATCATTTTCTTTTGAAGATTAACTGTCACTACAATTTTCTAAAAGACCTTAATGACAGTATTGCTGATGTCGGCATGTTTTGGCAAAAAAAGCTTCCAAAGTAGAATACAGTTGTGATACATTAAGGCTCCCTTGTCCTCATCCTAAACTTTGACCCTTTCCCAGAAACATTCAGCACAAAGCGATTCAAGAGCACCAAGTACTGCATTGTTTGGAAAAACAAATCCACAGTAGTATTTTAAGTTAGTCACTCACATGCTCAAGTTCCCATTCAATTTTAAATATTGGACTTCCACGAACTACACCCGTAGAAAATGCAGCCCCTTCAAAGAATGATTAGCTCATGGGGAATTTTGTTTTGATATTATTCTTTTTGACATTTTTAGCCTACAGAGATTGGAGCTAGCATAAGAAGTTGTGATTTATTTCCAAATGACTGAAATACTGAGTGGCAGACAGAATTTATTTTCAACCCTTCTAGGGAAAAGCAATCCTTGCTTCGATGTTCCCAGTTTTGCTAGTTCATCTAGCTTACTGGCATTTCATGATTTACAGAATTGATAATATGAAGTGTGGGCGTAATGGGAATCTATTTAAGTTTCTCAGAGAGTAACATGAGAAGATTGCTACCTCTCTAATGGTTGTAAGCACTTTGGTGTGTTTTATCCCCATATGGCCCAATCACATGACATGTATTAACACAAGGGCTGCATCCTCATACCACAGGGGTCTCTCTGTTACTCATCCACTCCAGCTCATGTTTTACCCAGAAGTCCTCATCATAAAAAATCAAATAAAAAGCCATTTCTTAATGGCTTACAATTGATGTAGCAAATGTTAAGACGTTGAGTTTCCAAGCTCAGCCTGAGAGAAACTGCAGAAACCCTGTTCCTTTCCAAAGACGACACATCAACAAATCTCAGGTGACACATTTAAACACACAAAGGAGTTGTCAAGACTTGGCTGAGCAGAACTTGATTGAAGTGTCCGCTGTTATATCGCAAAATGAAAGTCATTTGTCATCCTGTCAGTGTTGTTCGCTGGGTAAAAATATATAAGTGTGGCCGCAATACGTCTGGGTAAAACACAAGCCAGGAGAGACGCTCTAGGGCTCGAACCAGCAATTCAATTTCAGAGTTGTCAAATCCACCGCCAACATCACAGTTTGTGTTCAATACAGAAGCAAAAAGGCAGAGGATGAAGAATGAGAGAGAGAGAGAGAGAGAGAGAGAGAGAGAGAGAGAGAGAGAGAGAGAGAGAGAGAGAGAGAGAGAGAGAAAGTACTGAGAAGATTTCACGAAACATGGGATATGACAAAAGGATGAGGTGACAGAACTAAACACTAAAAAGATGAAATGATGCCATATAAAGCAAAGTGAGAGAAAACAAATAGAGATGAGGTACCATTGGTGCTGTAGATGACATGCTGCTGTCTTTGGTGCTGCTGCTGCTTACTACACTGTTATTACTGTTGTTCCCCTGTGACTGGGGCAAAGAAACACAACACAGAATGACTCCCACTGCTCCCATAGAGCAACCTATGTGAGTCCAAGTGGAGATCAGGTATATGGGCCATTACACGGCCAATGTGAACGAGTAGAAGTCAGCGAGAGGAGTTCAATACTTAACATATTTATTTTAACATCTATGTCAATAATCTGCTCCTTTCCGCTCTGTGCAGTTGTTAGTTTATACTCTTGATTGCCTTCTATAGACATAGATTAAAAATGATCTCTCTAATCTGCAACACGATCCTTATTAGTGTAGCTACCTAACTTTATAACTGGTTTATGTGACATGAGATATTTTATTTCTCTTATAAAGCTGTCCACTGAGCGGGGTTGAATAACTCTTTAAGTCTCACATCCTGATATATGCCCGTACTTAGTGTCTAAAACTATTGCAGACAATGTAGACCGTAAAAAAGTAGAAATACACAAAAGTTAGTCAGCAAATACATTTTAAAACAACAAACATGATATAAAAGTGGATTTCAGGAATTCACTAGCACTTTTAAAGTAGAGCAATTAAAATCAGTGGGGAAAGAGAGAAATCACAGATTTTGTATCTTAGACAGGCACGATGGTCGACTATCCCTGGCAGCAACATAGCTAAAGCATGTGTAACCGAGTCTGTCGTTCATTTTATAATTGTTTCCAGTTCAGGTCTGTGCATGCAGTGAAAGGCCTTGATGACAAGTTCCTCTGTAATTGAGGACAAGTGTGTGTGTGTGTGTGTGTGTGTGTGTGTATGAAAGTATGTACTATATTTTTTTGTTCCTCTTTTTTTGTGCAAAGCCAACTTTTACAAAACTTGAAAAATAATTTAGGAAGAATTTGAATAAAAATACATTTTAATGAAAAGTGGATTAATAAAAGTCCATTACAATGTAGATATAACCTCTGGCCCAAAGGGACTCAAGAATATAATATTTCCTGCTCATTGGGAAATACAGTTTTTTTTTGTTTTTTTCAAGCTTGACCAATAAAAGAATGTTAAGGTTTGCATATATCTGCTGCTGCTTCTCTAAATATCCTCCTGCAGGTCTTTTTACTTTATGGAAGTGTGGTGCTAGCACTCTTGGAGTTCCGGTTAAGTATTATTGCTTGCTCATCCCAACACTCACTTCTGTCAAGTTTTGTAAGTAACTTGAGTAGAGGTTCAGCTGCATGATGACAGATGGAGTGTATGATCTGAACAAGAAAACACAGTTTGAACTGGACTCTGCCTCGGGCTGACCGAAGGGGAAAAAAGCAAGAGACGCTTGGAGAATGCAAATCAGTTCTCTTAAAAGGAAGTTAAGAGGTGTGAACAGATTGATTGCATCCACAAAAGGTTAGGAGCAAAGTGCTGGGAGCTTTTTGGCTGTTTTTCTGCAACTTCAAAATGAGGAAATCTCCAACAGTTGAAAGTATTTTGGTAGTCTCTGAGACAAATCAGAACTATCTTTAGACAGAATTACTAATGTACACCATAGAGAGCACAGAGCAAAATTACAGGGAAATTATTTCACTTACATTATACAAAGTTTTACTAAATCAGTCTTTGTTGTGTGAATCAGATTTACTGGAAGTATTTCACAAATGACCAATCCATACATGGCAACTATTTACAACAATTTCAGAGCTATCTTTATGGTATAGATTTTTTGTTTTTTGCGTGCATACACAGGGATCTTTTTCCTCAGAGAAATCTTAGGACGTATCTGTGTTTCAGAGGTTGAGCCAAACTGCCTTTTTTAACAACACAAGATCTTCTGAAAAATAGCTTCAGTAGTCTGAGTGTTTTCCCCAACAGCTACAGAAAAAGTTGTTTACAAGAAATGAAATCTTTAAAGAAGCGTGGTATTTATAGCTGGGTATCAAACACAAACTCAGTACAAGCTGAAACGTGTACACAGTTCTTCTCCCCAACACTTTCTTGATGCCAGTAATTAAACTCATCTTTAGGATAATAAAGCACTTGATGCTGCAGGAGTGAGTCTGAAAGTTTAAAAATGATTCATCATCTCTGCAGTCAGTGGGCTTATTAAATAGTTTTTATGTTAGATGACTGAAATAATCTCTTTGGTCTATGACTTATAATACCTAAGTTAATATGCAACTTGTGGATTTCTTATGAAAGGTGGTTTCTAACCAGTAACTTAAAGAGACTTTAGAGGTTGTTGTTAAGAACAGAACAGTTGAGAGCTAAGTGGTGGGTATGCTAAAGTCTGTGTCCTTTTTTCTTTTATAGCCGTACTCTTCTTTACATCTGATTAAAAGTATGAAATAGAATCATGAAAATTGTGTCATTTGTTGTGATTATCTGTTTGAATCTTGTGTTTTGCCACAGAGCTTATTCTGCTGCAATAGTCCAAAGGAAGAAACCAAATCTATGTGATTTTATATTAAGAGAACCAAGGAGATGCTCACTTCTAGATGTGAATGAACCGTGGAAACTCTTCTTTTTTTTAAATGATAAAAAAAAACACAAGTTTAAATATTTAAAAATATCATCCAAAATTCTAAATTAAATACAGATATCACCTTTTAAATTCAAAATAGTATTTCTTAATAACTTGATATTCACTGCATGTGTTATAAGTGTGAAATATCTTTGAGTCCTTGACTGCTTGTAGTTCAAAGTAGATTATCTGCAGATGACCAAGACAGCTGTTTTTTTTTAAACAGGAAAGGGAAAAATAGGAATAATGATGACACAATAAATATGAAATAATTAAAAAAGGGAACGATTGGTTTTGATGTTTATGGTGGTTATACATTTTCTTACTCCTGTAACCAGCGTTCCTGTTCTTACCCCATCACATCAGAAGAAGGTAACTTTTGTCAATGTGAATGTGTTTGTGTCACTCGTCGAGAGCTGAAATGGTTTTGGTGGCGCTTATGGCAGAAGGGGATGCAAAGATGTTGGATGGAGTTGGAGAATCCAACATGTACAGTATTGAACAAGACAGAAACTGTCATGGCCGACGCCTCAAGCATCTCTGCCCAGCGGGGGGAAAAAAAAGAAACAGAGAGGAGGGAGGGAAGGAACGGAGGGGGATATACTCAGAAAGATGAAGAGAAGAGACCCATGAAAAAAGTAACAAAAACGACGGAACAGATCTCACCATCAAACAAACACTTGAGCTGGACTTCCTTTTCTGACAGATAGCAACGGAAAGGAGGAGGAAAAATAAGGGTTCATCGGGAAACAAGGAGCTAATCAGAACAGGAGAAGTGAAGCTGTAAGATCGATCCCAGAAAGAGAGAAAAACTAAAAAGCTGCACAGGGTGAAACGAAGATTAGAAAAGGGATACTAAAAGGGCTTCAGAGGACCATTAAGAAACAGTAGGCAAAAAAAAAAACAATAAAAGGAGTTGTTTTTTTTACAGGATAACTGAACATTTTGAGGGGGAAAATGGTTATGCAATGTATTTCAATAATATTCTGGTCTTGTTTTTGGGGAGATTTATTAATTGATCAAGCTACTGTATGTGTTGTTTTGGCCCTTGTTGATCAGGGTGCTTCACTGCATGCATTGACACGGACTGTCCAAAGAAAACTGTCAAAGAAAAGTGAGCGCCAAGACATAGTTGTAGCTCAAATCAAAGAGAGAGAAAAACCTGGTGGTTAAAAAAAGACAACATTTTAAAGGCTTTTGGTCGTATTATTTCCTTTCCTTTAACTTTGACCTCATACCGCAATTAACTGCTAAACATAAGTAAGCTGCTACTTTGTTTTTTTTCCTTATTTTTCTATAATAATCCATTTCCCTGAGCAAATCAAAAAACATGTGAAAGACAGTAGATATACTAACAGAAGAGCATACTGCTTTTCATACACTTCCACTATCAAAGAAACGAGAGAGAGGATGTGGGGTGAGAGACAGTAGAAGACAGGAGAGTAAGACAGTTGATAAGTTAGACAGTCTAGTTAAAAATCCCTCATTTAAGAGGGAGCTTACCTTTACTCCGTCCGACTTTTTGTTTAGTAAGGTTTTGCATGCTGGAAGAAGGAGAGAAAAGATGGTGAGGACACAGTTTTAGATGCTGCTTTTGCATGCTCATGGTGTTGAAGAAACTTCAGCTTGATTTTCCACAGCCAATATACACCTCGTTTTTTGATAGAGATTACAAAAACGTTTAACTAAGTCTATTTCAGCCAAAAACACATAAAAAAAGTAAATATATATACAAGTAAAAATGTATAGCAAGTCTAATGTTTGACATAATTATGAACTAAAAAAAAGAGCTTTGAGGAGAGTAGCATTCACAGCTTTGAGAGCTTTATTTTACTTTTGATCTACTTTTTCATTTGTAAAATATTTATCAGTTACAGTTTCAACAACAAACATTCAAAGTAGATCAAACAAAACATTAGAATAGATCATTCTACTGAAGCCTCACAGGAGCAAATATGACTGGATGAATAAAAATAGAAACATAAATGAGCTACTAAAACCATAGGATGCTTTTATCAATAACAACCTGTTGTTAGCGTCTTAGTGTAAACTAACTGTACTTTTTTTTTCAGTGTGATACAGCTAACATTGTCAACTGTGTTTGACTAGCAGAAAATAATGAGACAAAAAAAAAAACACTGTTTACTGTGATAAAACATGTTCAGTGTACAGGAAACTTTGTGTTCCCCTATGTTCACACATCATCTGCATGCATTCATACTTTGACCACATCAAAAATTGGAATTAAAAACAACAGGGCACTGAAGGAAAATGTCCACAAGCATGCACACACAAACAAAGACATATAAAACATATACCGGTAGTTATTATGTATTGAAACACTCAGATTGGTGTTAGTCATGTTCTAGTCATCCTCCCTTACCTTCCATTTATAAAGTAAGAAGGAAGGCAATAAAAGGCAAGGAAACTGCCGTGTTTAATATCTGCATCTCAACTGAAAACGGACTATTACAAGTGAAGACACAAACACCTGTCAGGTTTATCTTAGGTTAAAGATATTTGTTGACAGAGGTGGTGGGTTCATGTAGTAAAGGTGGCATGCAGCATCGACTTCACAGTGTCATTTTAACCGTTCAGAAACCTATCAACATTACCTAAGAACCATATCCTTCACTGTACATTACGCCATCATCATTATGGTCAGAGAGTGAAGAAAAAAATCAGAAACAGGCTTAAAGAGATATCCGTCACAGCAACTTATCATTGTACCGTCCCAATCACTCAATCCAACCGTAACTCCTGTAAGAACGCACTTTAAGGAACCAGCTCGCTCGTCACATGACCGCCATTTACCTTTAAAGGGCTCAGTATGACAAACACCAGCTGTCAAACAGGGGAACGACACATGAAAGATCTTACTAACAGGGATTACTGAGATCAGTGTGTTGGACAGCAGGAAGATGTTGTGCTTGTCTGGTTGTCAGTTAGAAATGGGCAATAAGACAACACTAAGTAGGCTCAATAAGAGTGGGAAAATGTAAGCCTTTCAAAACTATAAAGCCAAACACTCAACAGAATAAGGATTCCCTTTAATGGCAAGTGTTAGATTAAATGCTTGAAGTGGTAAAGGTCATGATAGTAAGGGGGTAATGGCAATACATTGGATGATGAGGCAGAGACATTGCGTTTTGTTTTCTTGACAGAAAAGTTTTTACTCTACAGTTGTGTTTAATTGGTACTTAAATATTTTTAAATATTGTATTTAATTGCTAAAAGTCAAGTCATTGTTGGTTCTCCTTTATTTCACCTCTTTCTTCTTACATCTATAAGTATCTTACCCTCATTCACTGCATAGAGTACATCTATCTTTGAATACCTATGGCTTTAGTGTTTTATATGATTAATTGTCATTTATATCATTGAAAATGTCTTTATACTTGTCCTAGTTGGATCTCTTCTTGTGTGTTGTACTGCATGATGAGGAACCCAATGGAAAACATTAATATATCGAGTTGTTTACCTGCAAGACTTTATTTGGTTTTCACTACTTGCCATGGATGCTTTCAGAAAATCTAAGAAAAAGGTCTTGGAGCAAGCTCCCTTAAATTCAGTGTTTTAAAAGGTCTGAGGGGATGTGGTTTGAGATGCTGTTTGACACTCATGCCAGCACTTAGTTTAAAGCATAGTGACACTTTTAGGTTTTCAGTGGCTTTGTTTGTTCACACAAAAACAACAGAACAGGCAGGAGAGAGGAGACAGAAAAAACAAAGATAACACAGTGCACTTTACATTCTGTTTATCCAGCTTCCCATGCAGTTAGGCATACTGTGCTGTACGCTCATACACATGCTCGGCTGGCGTTAGTGCCAGAGCCATGCGGTTGGAAGGTTGAAGCGATCACAGGCAGGCATCGACTGGGCATCTGAGTATTGTGGGTACAGACCAGTTCAAAAGGAGGAAAACTGGGAGTTATATGGAGGTTGAATGTTGATGTGTCCATTTCCATTTGTAGTATAAAAGGTTAAACATCTTCTGCACCAGAAGAAAAAGATATGCAGCCTGTTGTGTTAATGCAGAGATGTGTAAACAGAGCCTTGTTAGGTGGCAGCTGCAGCACTTAGATGGAGGTCAGAGGGTCATGCTGGGTGTCAGTTAAATGGCTGTTGTGTTCAACAGGAAATTAAATAGCCTGTCCTGAAGAGGAGCTCAGTTCATTAGAGCATCAAAACATGCTGCAGTGCTGAAAGGTTAAAAACTGAGCTGTTTGTGGTTTCTATTTAAATGTTTATTTGTGTGTGTGTGTATGTGTGTGTGTGTAGGATGCCCCAGTGCAATGACAACCATTCAAAGGTGTTTCATCACTGTGCAGTAGCAGCAGGCACGAGGTGGAGAGTTTCAAGCAGCAGGATCAATAGCTTGAGTTTGAAGTTGGCAGTGCCCGACTCCAACACCCCCTCGAGCACACGTACCTTCCTGTGCCATTGTGGCCGTGCTGGTGGTAGCGGCAGGGCTGGTATGCTGCCGTCCCACTATTGGACAGAGAGGGATTCAATGTGGAGGCATAGGTGGGTCAAGAGCCTCACTGAAGCAGCATAGCCTCCAATAAACTCCAGCGTTTCAGACAAGAATCACATAGATCTGGAAAGTGTTTGGTTGAAGATGGCATACTGATCCTGTGCCATTTAAGGAATTGACCATGTGATACCTATGGTCATTTTATTAGGATGAAGTGAAGCACTGCAGTAGACGGGATATCCTCTAAGCAACACACAAAAAACCTGCATCCCTATTTTTAAAATCTAATTTCAAAGAACACTTCCTTGCCTATAGTTATGCATAAAAACATTTGGAGTTTTGGCCCGTCTTGATTTTTCAGTCTTGACAGATCCTGAACATTAGAAAGCGGATGGCTGTTAACCACAGGAGCTTGTTTGCTTCCACTAAATCATATAAACACAGGGCAAATAGCATTATCCATTAACTTGCTAGGCCATCATCTTGCCTGCAATTGGGTGTTCAAATTGAAGTGCACTGCGTTTCAGTGATCGAACTACTTACAAGGTGGAAAATCAGAGCAGCCAAGAAGGCTGACGAGCAAATGTGGACAGGACTACAATTTTGGCGGTTAAGAAAATTAGATTCAGGCTGAAGAAAGTATTGATCGCAGACAGGAAGTAAAGCAGAAGACAATCAGTAATGTCTGTTCCTTGACCTGCATGAGAGATCAGACCAGGGAGAGGTGTACCTGTCTTTCTTGTTGGAATGACAGAAGAGAATAACTTTTTTTTTTACACAAACCCCTTTTCTTTCTATATACCCAGCTGGATTTTTGTGTTGCATCTCTCGTTGTTTAGAGTCAAAGGACCAAATGTTATTGTCATCTATGTTGTATGATTTGTATCACTGCAAAGCTCACCTGAAAAGTTCCTGGACACCAGCATCGTTGTGAGGATAGCTCCCTAGAGGGACAAAATAAAGCAACATTACAGGGATTTGTGTGCCGAGTCAGAAATCCATGTTGTAATGATTTCCAGTTTAGGTCTTAGCATGCGATGATGACAAGTTAATCTCTAATCGAGGACAACAGCGTGTGTGTGTGTGTGTGTGTGTGTGTGTAGAAGTATGTGTCCACACTCACTTTCAGTTTCCTCCTGGCGTTAAACTTGCGCAGACACTCCACAGTCTCCTGACGGTGCATCATGGAGGCCACAGTGGAGCGTTGCTGTATGCAGGAGAGGAAATCACAATATCTATGAATTCACTGCTTTTACTCCTATTTGATCAAATACAATGAAATGTCCTGATAATACAACTTCATCTTGTTTTTTGTTTTGTTTTTCAGCTAAATCAATCATTTTGACATAATAACATCACTATAATAACATAATTCCTCGTTGGTCGAGACAAACATATACAGATGTTTTTCTTTTTTAATGCTGGGGGGAAAAAAGTGATTTGAAAACCGGAAGAAGACAAGTGTGACTTACGCAGACCCAGGGATGCTTGATGGCCTGGTCGGCAGTGATCCGTTTGGCAGGGTTAATGGTTAACATCTGATTGATCAGATTCTTGGCCTCAGGGGTCACTGTGTCCCACTCCGGAGAAGGAAACTGAAGAAGGAAAATAAAGAGGAAGAAATGTTAAGGATGTAAAAAAAATAGATTTCTGCCACCCTTTTCCTTAGGGGCGGCTGTGGCTCAGTGGTAGAGTCAGTCGTCTCTTAACCCCAAGTTGCACCCATAAAGGGTTGAAAAAAAGAGTTGAAGGTATCTGTATGACTTACCCATGCTTGTCACAGTTACTTCATAACAATGCTCATAATATGCACAGTCATTAGATGTGGTTGTTTCAAATTATGGATATTATTATGGGTGATAGATTCTTATCTCCCAGAGTACTTTGACAAGCTCTGATAAATAAGCCCACTGCTCACTGATAGTTCATCACTAATGTCTTATCTCAAGGTTTTGAGTTTTATATCAGCTTTACAGCCTAACGATATGAAAATGTTGTGTGTTCAGCACCTGTTGGGAGCTGAGGTACAGAGCTTTTCTTGTACGTAATTACCGTTTTAAAAATTCTTAAACAAAACTTTCCCCATTAAGCAAGGCTCCATGGGTTTGGGAGGTTACGTCAGAAGCCTGCAATATCTGCTGTGACACAAAAAAATGCAAACCAAATGCTGAGAGTGTGGGTCATATCACACCTCAGGACGTGTTCTTCAACTGAACTTTGTTAAGTTGCCCCTGTCCTGAAGGTGACTACATGATGATGATGTAAGTACTCACATCATAAGCACCAGCCTTGATTTGCTGGTACAATTTATGTTGATCCTCATCCCAGAAGGGAGGGTAGCCCACCAACAAGATGTACAGTATCACACCTGCAATACACACAGAACCCATGTAAGCACATGTATAGAAATACTATACATAAAAAGCATTTGTAGTGTAGTTTCAGGGAAATGTTTTTCCTATTCATTAGTAGGTATCATGTAAAAAATAAGAATAAGACAGAAAGTGAAATTTAAAAAACTGACCACATGCCCATATGTCCACTGGTTTGCCGTAAGGGTCCTTTCTCAACACCTCTGGTGATAGATACCCTGGAGTTCCTGCAAAACCTGCAAATAAATCATTGTACCATTATTAAATTTCATCAATTCAGTGAAAACTGTCCTTTTAAAGTAATAATCACATTGATTATTCTTTCAGAACACAAAATAATATGAGCAGTGTAACAAAAGCACAAACATGTGCACAAAGATAGTGTTTATTCTATTCTATTCTATTCTATTCTATTTAGTCCTAATTTTAATATAGAACTAAAATAGTAATTTCAAAACTCCACATGGTTGTTCAAAATGCAACAATTTTACAAGACTTACTGTAACACACAGTTCACATCACTTAGACAGCTTTAGTGAAAGTTTGCCACATAAACTTCATTCAGGACTATTCAAACATTCTCATACACTCTCTTCAACAGTATTAACATTTTGTCACTATGTGCTGAAAGACAAACTGTTGCTGTTCTCATATCAATTTAATACTTTACTTTCTCAATTAGTGCTGTTGGTTTTCTTGCAGAAGGAAACACTGTGGGATGACTAAAGAGAAGTAGAAGTAGAAATGTCTTACCAAACCATGCCTGTTGGTCTCCCTGCACCTCAATGGCTAGACCAAAGTCAGCAAGCTTCACTGCTGCTCCCTTCATCTTACTGGCCAGGAGAAGGTTCTCTGGCTGCAACACACAGAGGAAAAGAGCTTTTTAGAAAGACATTTCTTACTCAGGTTGAAACTTGGGACTATTGTCAATATTAAGTTTTCTGTCTTTTTTATAGTAAAAAAAAAAAAAAAACTATGAAATTGTGTCTATCTTAAATTCAAAGTCTACAAAACAACACAAGCAAAAGAAAAGCAAATCATACAATTGAAGAAATTTCACGTCATGTTTTAATCATCACTTTAATAAACAGTAAGTTACAATCAATCATTTAAAAGAAACAGTTTGTTCAATGTGTGCTCGTGCATACTTATAAAGAAATACAATCTATTTAAATATATTTAAGGGTAAAATAAATAATCTTGTACCCTGCTTCAAGACATGTTCAACACGTCTGCATGACTGGATGAGTTGCAGGACCTGATCACATCTACTGTAATGAGGCATGATTTCGTCAAACAGGCTTCAAAGGCCTCCCCCAAAGGAAAGACCTTCTAAGTGAGCTGTCATATTTTGATACTGTCTCTCTTATGACAAACCTATGGCAGAAAGCCGAGACTTTTCAAAAACTTAAAATGACATCTTATACGTGATCCCATGCATGAAGGCTCAAAAAGCTGTGTGAGAATTGTGAAATCCTTGATAGAAGACTTTCTGTGGGGCAGACAAGGAGCTTTCTGCAATGTTAGTTTTCAGTTGTTTTTGACATTTAGTTTGTTATTTTTTTTTATTTGAATGGTTGTCTGTCTGTCTGGATTTCACTGCCTATCCACATACAGATTACATACAAAGAAAGGTATGCTGCTAAATGAAATAGTACAGTTAATGCTGGTTAATGCAAACATAATAAATTGTCTATGATCGTAAGTCTCTGTCCAGTGTCAGAAAAAAAAGCTTATGAAGCTCAATGATCATATAACTCATGTTCTTGGGGTATTAAGCTGCCTTTAAAAATCCGAAGATTGAGGGGAAATAGGCAAAAGGAATGCCTATACTGAGCAATGAAAGGCAGAGTCACATGACCTATGGTGGACAGGCTAGTGCTAGCATCCTTCACTGGTAATAGTTACCTTCTTACAGGATGATTAATGTAGGCCTGGCATACTGTAATGTGTTTTTGATTAATTGGTTAAAAACCACCGATTTTAAAAACTCTTAAACATGCACAATTAATTCACAAATGTAGCACTTGACTCTATGAATGCTAGCAATGGAGCTCCCACATAGCGACGTTTAAAGCATCTGCCCTCTAAAAAGAAGAAAACCAAGACAATATATTTTTTGTTTTAAATCTGTTTGTGTAGAGGGTAAAAGTTTGTATCCGTCCTCATTGCCACAAACCTGGCAAGGTAAACAAGTCTGACACTTGTAACTTCCTTTAAGCGCCAAGCCTGTTTCTTCTCATCTGACAGTCTGGATGTTTCTCTTTCTCCATCTAGTAATCCATCAATCTATCTATCCCTACTTCCAACCACAGTTTCTATCGAGCTGGAACAATTGGAGAGAAATTAAACTGATGAAGAATGAGGCAGAATGAGACAGATAGCGACAGATAGATGGGTGGTGGCATAATGAGTCCCTTTGCTGGTGCTGCAGCAGCCGGGTGACCTCACCCCCACAGTTACCATGGCAACCCAGTCTACCACCAGCCAAGAGCACTCAACTCTTTCTCTGTAATTCCTGTTTTCCTTTCAGCAAGAGGCCCTCCCAAGGTGACAGAGAGGCAAAAATATGATATGTGGGGGTCACACCTCTTCATGGCACCCTTTGTTGGCATCATTAGTATTTTCATGCTTCCAATTCTGCTAAATCCCCTGGACGTTCTCGAAAAACGGTAAAAAAAAATCAATCAAATGTAGCTTCCTTTAAAGCTGAAGGTTTTGTTCTATGAGAAATTAACATCTTGAAGCTGATTTAACTTTATTTTTAAAAACAGGGCATCAAATCAAGCCTTAAACAAGACATTCATATAATATTTTATAGAGTTGCACAAATCACTAAAACCAGCAGATATGGAGCTCATAGCATTGTTTTGGAAGTGTATCACAGGACACCTAGGAAGTCAAATAATTGGTGCCTTTTTAGTTCACATTAGCTTATTGAGTCACTATATTGAATTCCGCATCAGCTTATTCCAACCCTTTACAGAAGCTACCTGCGAAATGAGAGTGATATAATGTAATGGACTATAATGGTTAAACTAGGATAAATATTAAGATCCAAGGCTTAAATTGATGCTGCTTCTTGTGCTTTATTTGAGACACATTTCACCCGAATTCAGCCTGACACATAAGGCATTTCTTTTGGTAAACACTATTAGATTTTAAAATATACGTCAATCGATGTAACTGCTCTTTGGCTGAATGAGTTTGTAAGTAATGATACAGCACGGATACAGTTGAATACACATTAAGAAAGTTGCGCATTGAACTGAATGTATGTCATTTCTGCCCTCTGTCCACACCAACATTTTCGTCATCTCATCTCTCTAAAACTCTTCGGCTCAAAGTTCATTAGACAGCAAGATCTATGTGCAAGCTAAAACACCCATCAATGAGAAGCCGGTTAAATCCATTTACACCACTCTAACAAAAACAGAGAGATAATTCAATTATGTTTGTCTGCTCTGATTTTCTTCTGTCTCATAAAAGCAATGGACAAGATTGTTAAGTGTACTATCAAAGTTACGGCCTCTGAACTCAGCCTTGGTAATAAACATGTTGTGCAATTATCCAGGTGTTTAAATCTCAGTTCACTTTGCTCTCTTCATTCCTGTTACTGTTCAAATCAAATCAAAAACAGCTGTGGAGGTCAGAGGGCTGTTGGTGTCTGCTTGGGGCGAACAGTCCTGCTGCAGGGAAATCGTCACTGACTGTCATCGCACCACCAGACCTGCTATTAATAGCAGCTGGTTTGCTTTCGTCACTCCTCAGCAGTGCAGGATGGAGGGGAAGGGGGGAAAGGGAAAAAGAGAGGAAGAAGAGGAAAGGTGGGGAAAGAGGACAAAGGGGAGGGATTGTAGGAGAGGAACATTTGGAATATAGAGAAATGAGGGGAGAAAAGAGGTGACGAGAAAGAGGGATGACACTTAAGTTGTTCTTAGCGTTACAGCCTGGCGTCTGCACGTGTGTGTGTGTTTAGGGCTGTTATGAAACCCTACAAATGTCTTTGGTCTGCACTCACAACATTGTGCTATGTTATATGTCTGAGTGTTTGTGCTGCTAGATAGTGTAGGAAGTCCTGTCATATTTACAACAGGTGTGTAATAACTCACCTTGAGGTCCCTGTGCACAATGTCATGCTGGTGGATGTGACTGACGCTCTCCAGGATCTGATTGATGCAGTGACTGCAGGAGACGGAGAAGGGTGAGACACAGAGGAGATACACATCTGTCAGTCGAAATACAGAGGACACACTGACGTAGAGGAAGAAAAAACATCAAGTTCAACTTAACCATCAGGTCCTCATCTTTGATTCTGTGTGTTCATTTGAGTGTTATTTTCCGGGGGATTTAAAGGATATAACATTAGAGGCAATATGAAACTTTCTAGAATCCCAAAAACAACTCTACTTATTCCTACAGTAGGTACCATCAGCAAGGTTAAAATAGCTCTGAGGACTTTGAATTGGGAAGAACAACAAGACAAGAAAGGAAAGGAATGTCGTAGAGACAAAAAAACATTAAATATCAAAACAGTTGAAGAGAGGGGCATTAAAGGTGGGTAATGCTTAAGTTTCTTTTGGTATAACATCATCTGACCTTTAAGCCAATTGCGGTAGTATAAATTCTCTTTTGCAGAGGTTTGTTTAAATAATATCCAACATGCTACAGGTCTGTCTTGAGTATTACATTTAAGCATTAAGTAGGGATGTAACGATTCACTCAATTCACTATACTGGGTTCACGGTACGATTATCTCACGATCTATTTTACAAAATGAGACTGTAGACAAATTATGACTGAAAACGATTCCTTTAGGGGCCTTTTAATGTTTTTTTTTCTCGCAACAAGGGGAGGTGATTGGAGCTTCTCATTGTGGTGTTCGGTTAATGCTGCATCATGTTGGTTGTGCTGTTTGTGAAGTTCCCTGTCTTCTTGCAATATTTGGACACAGTTTTTGTCTTGTCTGTTGTCTTCTCACCTCTTTCATTTTCTGTCTGGGGGAAGTCAAAATGCTTCCACACCTCCGATTTAAAAGACGGTGGTGGGTCCTCAATTTCAAAATCTTGCTCTGCAACTGCCAACCGCCTCTGCTGTACAGCTGCTGACGCTCACAATATTATTGTGATTCATTTTTCAGAGTACAGATGTGACTGTTGAGACCTTTGAATCGATTTATCACAATTTTACGATTAATCTTTACATCCCTAATGTATAGATAATTAAACCATAATTGTTTACAAATTGATTAGATAAAGAATTAGACTGATAACACGTGTCCACAGTGGGTACAATATGCAACACGAAGAGCATTCCCTCTCAATAAGATAAGGTAAGATAATCCTTTATTTATCCCACAACGGGGAAATTTACATTTGACACAATCAATATATGGTATATTTATGTACGAGTATGCAAGACCGTTGTAAGAGGCAAAAAAATCTTCAATAAATTGTAGTGCAGACATTATTTTGAGGATGGTGGTATATGAGGGGGAAAATTTAAGTGCATTTTTGTGTGAATGAATGTGGGGAAGGAAGTGGAGCAGTCAGGGTGAGTGTGTTGTTGAGGCAGTGAGGTTATGTAAGTTATGTAAGCTTGTCCTCGGTTACAAATCAGCTATTTTGCTGGTCTGATGCTCTGCTAAAATAACTAGTTTTTCTTCTAAACAAGACTGAAGTTGACATTAGTAAAGGTGAAGTCAGGGTCAGTAGCAGGGTAACATTTTGAGAGGGTGACGTCCTCTCTCTGTAAGAAAATCTCAGAGTATTCTGTCCAAATAAGGCTAAATCTGAACTCCACATTCACACTACTTGTTATTGCAGTGTATCTAGCTTCCATCAGAGCACCCTTTTGGTGACCATAGTCTGTTGAGCATTGTACACCCTTTCATTTTCTCACTTTCATGTGTCCGAACTTGAGCTTATCTATGTCCTGCTTTCCCTCCTTTTTTCTTGTTTTATGTTTTCATGATCCAAATGTATTTCTTGGTGCAGGTTCCCCTTTATAGACCAATATCAGATAATCGGGTAATTTTGTGTTTTAGTAATGTAGAATAAAGTTTGTTTCATTCAATTATTTTGAATGTTTAAGTCTAAAAGTAACAAAATCCAACGAGTCTCAACAAAGTTTGATTTAGTCTGCACAGACAAGAAAAGTTTTGTGCTGCAGTGCAAAAACGCTGCTGCTACTACTGACAAAAGGAAAAATAAGCTTTAAAAACTTTTAACAGCTTTGTCATTATTTATTAATGAAATAAATTTAAAAACCCCAAGTGACATGTTCAAAAATAAAATGTTCACTGAAAACAACATCAGAAAGAGAGCTGGGAGAAACCACAAGCTCTGCTTCTCCTGCTAAAGCACCAAGTGCATTTCACGAGGTCCGTTTTAACAACGTAAGGGTTCGTTTTGGTGGTTTTTAAAGATGTTATATGCAGGAGAATAGACAAATAACTCAAAGAATTGCACGATATAGCACGTTCACATGTTAGCATGATGAAATACTGTACCTGGCATCTGCCTCGCTGTAATACTCTCGAGCAACAATGTCCTCAAACAGCTCTCCTCCAGTGACACTGCAGACAGACACATTGACAAATGAAAGACCTGGTCATCATTGATAACATGACCCTCATATTTCAACCTTGGTTTGTGTAAATATGTAGCTCTGTGTACCTAGAACCCTAAAACTGTTGCTTTCAGAGACCACTTGCTTATTGAACAAGCATCAACAAGACTGATTTAGCATGTCTGACTTATTTGTGCATCAGGCAGAAAACTGATGGCACCTAACTAAAACTTGATATTGCGCTTTAAGCAATTACAACTGAGAACTTAACATGTTTTTTTTGTTCAAATCTACTAAACACATTGTGCTTCTGTTAAATGCTATAAAACATTTACTAAGTTTACCAAGGGAGCATCTTCTCATAGACTTTTATACAACTGGACTTTTTAATGCATGTTGAAGACATTTTTGTAATGGCTACATGTCAGTGAAAGCAATTTATGGTCTGAAAAAAGGAATATTGAACCTCTCATCTGTTCACATCCTTGTCATTTATGGGGTTAAGAGTTGTTCAAATATAGACAACAGTATTGGAATAGGCCTCCAGTGCAGACTACAATGCACTAAGGGGTATCAGGTAGTATGAACTGGTTTCATAGCAGGACAAATTATTTTTTTGTATTACCATTTAAAATAACTCAATTTGAGAGAGAATGACTCTCTCTCTGTCATCGCAGCTTAGTTGAACACTAATAAACTGCTGTCGAAAAAAGAGTCATGGTCACTCCTGGCTGAACCTGTAACCTGTATGTGTTTGTGTGGGCCAATGTGATTCACTTACAGGTCAAAGACGAGGTAATGGAAGCCTTCCTCTGAGATGCTGTCATGGAGTCGAACTAGTGAGGTAATAAGAAACAGAGAGAACCTTTAATAAGAAATCAGTCAAACTTCTCTGATAATGTCAGTGATCTTTTGTAGGGAAGCTTTCAATAAACCATCACTTGAGATCCAGGACAGTCAAGACACCAAGGCCAACACGTTTTGTTTTGCACTTGATTCAATACATAAATTGGACTGCTGTGGTGATTTGATAAGAAGTCATCTTTGTTAAAAGGGGCGCACTTTAGCTCAGCAGGTAGAGAAGTTATTAAGGCTAAGTTCTTGTTCTTGCCGCTGGTGTTCATTTCAAAGCCCTTAGTTTCATGTCCTCTACTCTCTCCCTCACACGTCCTGTCTCTTCTCAGGTATCACTTTCAAATCCAAAGAAGCAAAATGACAAAGAAATTATAGAAAGAAAACATGTATGTAACTCTATTTCAATGACTGCGACACCATTGCCCTTCATATTATCTCACTGTTTGGTGGGTTATCTGAATACCGCAGTATATATCAGCTATTAGAAAGGAGACTGTTTTAAGGAGTAGGTGTGCAGAAATTGACCAAGAAAAAATATTTTAACAGAATAAAGTTGGAAACTAAATATACAGAGCAGTCAGACGCCAGAGGTTTTATCTTTCGGGATGACTTTCCATATGTTTACCAAATTATTGAAATATTATTCCATTTCAATTATGAACAACATTACACGATTATGACACATGTATGACATTATAAAGGAAAATATTTACAGACTAACTTTTAACTGTCATATTTACTATATATATTAAGAGCTTCCTTTTTTATCCTTAAATTAGTAAATTTACCTCAACTTTCTTCAAACACAGTCTTCAACAAATAAACAAATAAACTTAAATAGCTTGTATTTATGTTTTGTGTATCCCTTAAGCCTTGAACAATGACGTTTTGCAATTCTAGTTTAAGTGATGGCGGTTTCTTTTAGAATATAAGGTTTCCAGCAGCGGAGCTTTTCCCTTCCTCTCTAAAATGATTCACTCGAGGGCCCAACAGTTGGTTTGCAAAGCCCGACTGCCACCTGTCTCTTTGGCAACCAGGAAGTAGCTCTTGGATGATCAAGTTGACAGAATGGTTGCCATATTTTAATCATTCATAATTAATTTGATACTGATAATTTGCTTTTAGGTTTTGTCTCTGTTACAGGAAGCACAAAAGCAGGCAGTGAACAGAGTTATTGCCAACATGGACAACTTGAGCCAATAGCTCTTCTTTTGAAATGAGTGGAGTGGCCTACTAAACTGACTGCTAATAAGTAGATTAAAAACCTGTTTGAGTCAAGGTGGGTGAAGGTGCCTGCATGCTTAAATTAAAACTGGAAAGGTTGTATATTAGTCTGTTCTTGATTCAGATGATTTGCTTTTAAAGAAAAGAATACTTGACAAGCTCTCCCCACGAGAATGGGGAGATTCACATCCAATGAGTGCTGAGGAAGTGTGTGTGTGTGTGTGTGTGTGTGTGTGTGTGTGTGTGTGTGTGTGTGTGTGTGTGTGTGTGTGTGTGTGTGTGTGTGTGTGTGTGTGTGTGTGTGTGTGTGAGATAGGGGTTGTCTTTAGCTTGCACCACCTTATCATACTGTATGACAAGGCAGTACTGCCACCAAGTAACCATTTCCTTCCTTTCTGACACACACACAAACAATCAGAAAAACTAAGTTGTGTGATGAATTAAAGTCTTAAAATGTGATGAAACTCAGACAAAATTGGGGGATAAAGGCTTGATAATGTAAGTCTTTCCATCAAATAAAAGAGAAGCAAAGTTTTGCATGTGTCTACATTTTTGGTTAATTAGCATCATTATGTGCATGCAGCATAAGCAATTAAGAGTTCCTGTTTGTGACAGGTGTGCTGAGAATGTATTACAGTGTAACTTTGATACAGATGAAAACTTGTGAATGTGCTGATTCTTCAAGTTCTGGAATCATAATAAGCCTTTTCTTTTCTTTTCAATGAGTTCTTAACAGATGAATGCATGTGTTCACAACAGACAACAGAACGTTAAGTGACATTGAAACTAAAATACTGTTTGTCATCTTGGTGTGCTCAAATTTCACATAGTTATGACTCAAAAGAGGAAGAGTAAATCATGATTCAAATCTTGGCTAACACCGGTTGTGTGTCAAAGCCTCTCCTGTTACTGCTGACCGTGATGTAGAGCAGTCCATGTACTTTCCTGTTATTTTCACTATAGTTGCAATGATAAAGATTAAACAATACGTTTTTTAAGAAATGATTAAATAATCATTAAATGGACTCTTTTTTTAGAGAGAAAAAGGGAATAAATCACTGATTCCAGCTACGTTAATGTAAATTCTAATTTTATTAGTCAATGAAAGTAACCTCGTTGAACTGTAATTCATTTCAGGAGGTCAACGCCAAGATTTTTTTGGTGAGATTTATTGGATAATTTTACAGCAACCCAGAGTGTAACTTAAACATATAGTTGGGTCTGAGGTATGTGCTCGCTATAGTAGTTGCTTACTGACATACCCATTTATACAAATGAAAGTGGGCTACATCACCTCTCATTATAATGCTATAATATGTAACCCCACTGCAAACTGCTGCTTCAACACCTCCTTTAAACATTATGGATAAAACAGATATTTAAACCTTCATTAGGCAGTGATTTTCTACAGCACCCTGACTTTGTATCTTTGTGTCACCTGTCAATAGGATTGTTAAGAATAAATGCATGTAGGTAGGATTTGTTGTCTGTTACTGAATGGTTCTAGTTTAACAATAAGAGTTCAAGGTGATTAAGATGATTTGGGACAATTCACTTACTTTCTGGTGTATTCAATGCTTATTCTTTCTTATGCTACTCAAAACACAGCAGCATACCTACCAACTCCCTGATACATCTGTATTAGTTTTATGTATTTGAGTTAATGTGCAAAGCATTATTTCATATGGATGGAAGATAAAAACACAGTATTTCACAGGGGGAACATTTTCTTTTCTTTGTTGTGTATGGAACCAAGACAAAAATGCAAAGACGATACAAACCACAAGGTTCATTAAGACTGCACACACTGAGCACCACTCCTCAGAAAACATTTGTTTTTGTAAAAATTGTGATGGCTTGTTTATCCTTTCCCCTGATGTTCTGAATTAATGCAGTTGTTCCACTAATCCATTAGTTTGCTGGCTCTCAAAAATGACTCACCTATGTTTGGATGTTTGAGTAGACGACAGATTCTCGCCTCCCGCTCGAGTTTCTGGTGATCTAAGGAGAAAAGAACAGAGAGAGGGGGGACAGTAAGGACACATTTTCAGTACCAGGAAGAAAGTAGGAAGAAAAGCTTTTAAGATACTTTGCTGTAATTTAACATTTGGACTAAAGTGACATACAAACAGGCAAGTGGTCACAGGAGAATATGAAGCCAGGATTCAAGTTAAATGTAGACAACACAAGTACTGCGGAAAGTTTACTGATCTAAATCTGCCATTTAAGTAATCCAAGAGCACTTTTGCATTAAAGCATTTTGGAGATGGCTTCTCTACAGAAGTTTGCAACAGAAATTGTGCGAATAAATTATAAATGATTTGTTTAGTTTTACAAAGCAAAGATTTTTGCAAACAAACTTGATATTTTCTTTGGAAGGATTTCAGCAACGCCTGGACTACTGATGTTAATATTTTATTTTCATATTTTATAATCTGTAGTTGTAACAAATAGAAAAACATCAAAATAACATTTTTTCCCCTTCCAGTTCCATCGCAGCCTACAAATCCCCTTACAACTACATTTACCTCTTAAACTGCCACTTTGTGACCAACATCAAATGGACTAGATCTGAGTGGACAGCAGAGACAAGATGTCAAAAAGGTAAAGCTTACTGAGAGCCAGAAAAGCTATGAGGCCAAAACAGTATCTGTCAACTTACATGACCTTACATAAGAGAACAGGCAGCCATATAGTGTGCACAGACCCACACCAACACACAAACAGCCTTTAGCATAAGCTTTTTGCACTTAGTGAAATTATTCTTGTAGGTCTTAATATAATCAGTGTCCAGTTAATGATTCTAATGGCAAAGGAGGATTTCCATGTGTGTGTGTGTGTGTGTGTGTGTGTGTGTGTGTGTGTGTGTGTGTGTGTGTACTGCATGTTCAAGTCAAGCAGATTGGTTGTAGCACACACACAGCAGTCAGACACGGTGGATGAACTCTCCTGTTGCAAGGTGTCAGAGGTCAAGTTCAGACAGGATTCTCCTGCCACCTACCAGCTGCTGGTCTCAGAGGACAGATGGGCAGCTTACGTGAAAGAGTAACGCCTGTGTGTTGGTGCGTGCATGCATGAGAACTGTGTGTGTGTGTGTGTGTGTGTGTGTGTGTGTGTGTGACAGCGAGAGGACACTGGACATCTCTAATCCTCTGTCTCATCCAAGGTTTACGGCTGGGTCATGGTATCTAGTGGGATCATAGTGCAGCAACGAGCCATGATTCTGAACCTTCATCTGATTATTTTCTCCTTTTACCATATTATGGACCAAACAGTAAATATACATTGGAATATTCCTTAAAGTTGACATTTATCTAGTATCATACAGGTTGAAACATCCATAGAACCGTCCTAACTATACTCATTTTGTTCAATATACTGAAACCACGACTTGTTCCTCTGCTGTCTGTGCATACATCTATGGCTGCTATCAAATAAAGATTGATATTAATGCTGGACAACATTCCAACAGACCCAAGCACCTACCAATAATTTATATTGTGGAATAATTGTTTAATCTAAAAACAATCATAAAACAAATTAAAACCGCAAGTGGTGATGAAGGGCCCTCGCACCCCAGTGCATGTCGGGGTGTGTCGTGATTGCCGGAGTGCAGCAGCAGCGGAACTTGGCTAAGCAGCAGGCCGTGCAGTCCGATTTGTGTAAAAGTCGTAGTACTGGCAAGTTGAAATAGGCAACGTAATGAAGATCACATAAAATTTTGAGGTAGAGCAGTTCAGGCTGGCACTGTCATGATATGACATTTGGAGGAAATTGAGTATTGTAAATAGGATGTAGAAACTTAGTCCTTGCAGTAGGGGACGCTATGGTTGAAGTTGACTAATGTTATGTCAATGTGTTCAGAGGCCAACCCTGATCATACAAGTGAAATTTGAAGCAGATCAGATAAAGTATCTGAGATGCAGTACAGCCCCTTTCCAGTAGGGGGCAGGGTGTTAATGACATAATTGTATTAAGTTAGATTTGATCAGGCCAGTACTGACATCGTTCATGTGAAATTTTGAGCAAATCTGACATTGTATATGGGAGTTAGTACTTAGTCCTTGCAGTAGGGCGCGCTATTGTTAGGTGACTGATTTGACAAGCTCCTGGCTATTTAGAAGAGAAAGAAGTGCTCAGAGTCAAAGTTCAACTCCATTGTTGTATTGACAGAACAGTTCATGTATTTTAGAATTCTTGAAAAATAACCGACACATCAATCAGAACAAAATAACTGTTAGTTTCAGCTCGTTACTGTTGAATTCAAAGAGTCTCCGACTCTCGAAGCTGCATGCCAGTCATACTGTAGGACGAATCAATTTTGAGAGAAAGGGTTTAAAGGTCCCATATTATGCGCTGTCTGCTCTTTAGTGTGTTTTCCATGTATCCTGTGCATGTTTAGGCACATCTATGTGCAAAAATTCAAAGTCTGCATAAACGCGGCTTCTCCTACGTCCTCCTGTCAGCTGCAGCATAGTGATATCACTGATCTGGGCCGCCCGCTTGGAAGACTACAGCCTCCATACATGGGGCGTGCGCACCAACCACTGCGCCACCAGCGCCCCAAGTTGCAGCATTCTTAAAGGGCCCATATTATGCTCTTTCTGGTTTTATATGCTCTTTAGTGTGTTTTCCATGTGTGGCTCGTTGTGGCAAGCCCAGCAGCTCATGTTGCACGCCCATTAACTTCTGTAGCACGCCCACGATATGACGTAGCCTGCGGTAGCACAGTAGTGCTAAGGTGCTAATGTTTACGCTCCCCTCGGACGGAGCCAAAGTGGCTGCATTCCCAATATGGTAAAAGGGGCGGGACATTTCCGAGAACCATGCTGAGCAACTGACCAATTACGTCAGAGCCAACAAGCCGATCAATCAGATCAGACTTGGCACACGTGGGGACTCTGAACGTGGGCACTTCAGAGCCTTAGAGAGAGAGTCAGAAGCGAGCCGGTGCATGGAGCGGCAGTTCATGAAAACAGACACTTTTTTAGAACTTTAGCTATTGTGAACATACTTTAGTAGGTACATAGATTAAATATACGAACCCCAAAACTCAGAGTTAAGATCCGGCCCACCTTAAAGTTTGATCAGGCCCGTAAGACTTTTTGGGAAGACGGGGGAATTTAAATTTGTATTAATTTATTTTGAAGATTTTTTGTGTGTTTATTGAAATGACAGAACATTGGATAGAGTCAGAAATCAGGAGACAGGATGTCCTTTGACTTAGGAGCCACAGGTTGGATTTGAACCTGGGCCGCCCACTTTAAGGACTGTTGCCTCTGTACATGGGTTGCGCAAATTAACCACATTGGACACATTTTTAAAAATGTTTGCAATACTCTCAACAGACAAGTTAACATTCCATTATAACCAAACACAATATATATTGCACGGGCTAGGAGGTCCTGGGTGAGCTAAGGAACAGTGCACAAAATGCTTCCTTGAATTATGCGAGGAGATAACCACATTCATATTCAATCAATCATAAAGAAAAATCAGTGGCAGAGATAGACTACGTCAGAACGTACGGTCAGGGATTTATTGGATTTATTGATGACAATGTTCGCGTCAAAGATTCTCTGTGTATTAGAGACGAGACTCTTTCGCTCTCAAATCCAGGGGGAAGTCAGTCTATGAATTACTTTGGATAATTAAGTCAAACTGAATTGTTTTAGGACACATACCAAGCCAAAGCATTGTACTACAAGTAAACTCTGTTTGTTTCAACAGTTATGGTCAAAACAACAAACCCTATACTTAAAGGAAACTAATCAAGTTTGATGTAATGGATGAACCCTGAAGCTAACAGAGGTAATATTAGAAAGCTGCTCAGCTGGCTGGAAAAACACTCACAGGAAAAGTGAATAGGAAACACATCCTTCCTTCAGTGTGGGGCGCATTAGACGCAGTGGAAAGTCAATTTCCACACTACCTCGGTGATATGTACTCTGTGGTCCTGCTCAATCTCAAAGGTGCTGATTAGCTTCAAAACGGATTAGTCAATTTACTGGTGTTTCCATCAAAAGAACATATAAATGTTAGGATACATTCAATTATTTCCCCTGCAAAAATACAAAGTGCTTTCTGATTTCATTTCAGATGTAAGGAATTGCTTTTGACTTCAAACCAAACTTTATTCAATTTAAGACTTTAAGACACCCTGGAGGGAAACAGGGAGGATCAAAACAATGCCCACCAAAACCTATGACCCAAAGGGCTAAGCCAATCAGCTGCAGCTTTTTCCTGCATGTCTCTGTTTATACGAATGTCGGCCTATCCTGTTTGGTTCAATAACCAAGCTTTGGTTTAGACCTCACACACATACTGTACATAAAGACAGAAAACACACCCACAAGATTTAATCTGACCCGTGTGTTCAGAGGATGAGAAATCAAAGGATTCAGCAGACATTCTTCAGACTTCTTCCCAGAGCCATAACGGGCTATTTTGGCTGCTTGTATTATTAGAAGTTGGATCTGCGAGCTAAAATAGGACTATTTTTCTATGCTGGCCTGAGATGACTGCTGCATTATGCCTCTGAAAGCGGACAATCTTGGCAGCTGGATGCTTAGAAATTCCGAAAAACTCGATGAGAAGTTTCAAAAGAAAGATGAGAGAATAAATACATGGTTCAAAAGGACTAACTGTATAGAAAAGATGAGATACATGAGAAACATGTATCAAGTGTCAAAACGCAGAAATGTACTGAAGGCCCTTAAACATATCAGGAACAGTAGAGAATAGGAAGAAGAAAGGAAGTCTCTAATAGAAACTGAAGTAATGAAGACCTTCATCGTCCTTGGTTTTCATCTTTACAGTGAACATAGGCAAACAGTTTTCATAAAAATCCTTTTAATCTTAACAGCTTAAACTTGCCAACTGTGATGTTGCACAAAGAAATTCATTTGTACCTGATCTTTCTTGTAATAGATACTAAAGCCATGGCATTGCTTCACCAACTAGATCACACACAGCTACACACAACCGTTTTAACAGCTTTC